ACTCGATGCGATACCGCTAACTTTTTATTGTGCACATCTCGAAACTTTTTCCCAATTGTATTTCTAGTGTTTATGATTGATTTTTTTGAACGTTCAGTGTGGGTATTCCGTACAGACTCTACGCTGTTTTCTTTTCTTTTCTTCATAATGGTGATGATGTTTTCTTGTTTTTTTTTTTACATGAAAATGGTATGAAAAATCATGTGAACACCTAAAGAGTATCTTCTATACTGCAAATATATTGCGAAATTATATATTATTTATACAATTTTACATTGGCGGAATGTTTATGAAGTTATCGAACTGCATACGATATTTTCCATTGTTTGGAGCTCGCTCATGACATGTCGACAGATATGTTGAAGTCACTAAATATATGCTTTAGGTTTGTCTCATCTTGTCTGAAAAGCACGAGTAAATTAGCGTTTTCACGAATCAAATGCTTTGGGATATGCGCATAGCTTTGGCTTAAATAAAAGCAATCAACACTCCTATGACGCCCCATACAAAAATATGATCTAATATTATCTTGTTTTTCACAAATTACATCATCAAATATGAATATTGAATTTGGTTTGACTTCCTCTAAAGGAATCACACTGTCATTCGAGGAAAACATATAACAACCAATACCTTTGATGGATGCTAGAATTTTCTTCAAATAAACATATTTTGGTTGGAATAAGGATTTCGCGTACACGTAAACGTTTTCAAATCGAAGACCATTTGGGCTTTCTATTAAACTAATGATCACATTCGTTTTTCCACTGTTTGAGGCTCCGCAAATTAGACAACGAATGCTATTCGGTAACAAAACACTATGCTTATAATGCGGCTTTTTATTCACGTCTTTGCCCTGCGTTTCAACATTATGGATGGGAATTTTAACACGTTGCTTGATTATTTGAAACTTCTCCATTTTTTTTTAAATTTAAAAAACAAAAAAAAACCGTTATAAATATAACCATTCACGCTCACAAATGATCAGTTAATGCCCAACTTCTGCATGATCCACACGTTTAAATATTGGGAATTTAAGTGAAAAAATTAAGCAAAAACGATACGAAAATGAAATCGAAAACACAAAGAAAGAAGTTTTCAAAGAGTTCATTGAAAAAACGTAAATCAATATCCGGTAGAGGGTTAAACAAAAAAACAAAAAAACAAACACAAATTTCTGGTAAAGGTCTAACTAGAAAAATGAAGACAAAAAGAAAATCTGCTGGGAAGAAGAAGAAACGATTGACGGGGAAAGGTCTCATGAATACATTAATAAATAAGCTCCCATTCGAAATGCATATTCCAAGATATCAGTATTGTGGTCCGGGGACAAAGCTTAACAAACGACTCAAACGAAACGATCCAGGTGTAAATGATTTAGACAGAGCATGTAAAGAGCATGACATAGCTTATTCGAACACAAACGACATAAAAGAACGTAATGAAGCAGATAAATTGTTAGGTAAAAAAGCGTGGAAACGCGTAAAGTCAAAAGACGCTAGTTTTGGTGAAAGAGCTGCTGCGCTTAGTATAAGCGGCATCATGAAGGCAAAATCCGCCTTGGGCATGGGCTTGAAGCCGCGAGTGGGTGGATGCCTTAAGCAGAAACGGAAATTAAGTAAAAAGCGCACCAAAACTAGTACGAAGCAGAAAAGGGCATCAGTTTCACAGGTATTTAAAAAGGCAATAAAAAATGCGAAAAGTGAAATTCATAAGGGGCAACCGAGAACAGTTCCAGATGCTGCAAAATTAGCCGTGCAAGCAGCGAAAACCATTATAAAAAGTCATCGAATTTCCAAGGAAATGGCGCAAAATGGGCTCCCACGAATAATCCCCGTTCCGAAAATAGGTGGAGCGTTGCCACTAATACCTATTTTTGCTGGTCTTTCTGCATTAGGCGCATTGATGGGGGGCTCTGCTGGCGTTGCAAACGCAGTTATTTCAGCAAATAAAGCAAAAAAGGATTTGAATGAAGCACAGCGCCATAATCAAACCATGGAAGCTATTGCGTTGGGGAGCAAAATGAAATCTGGAAATGGGCTTTATTTAATGCCATATAAGAAAGGATTGGGCCTCTTCCTCTCACCATATCTGGTTTTGGGACCCATTGGGTGAGCTACTTAAAGAGTGATAAGGTCTGCCACTACTATGATTCTTTCGGGGATTTACAACCACCCCGTGAGTTTATAAAGTATATTGAAGGTGACTGTACCATTTATTTTAATTACGAACGCTTCCAAAATTTTGATAGTGTCATATGCGGACATTTATGCCTGAAATTTTTATTTGACATGGTGTACAAATAAGCGATACAATATTTATTGAGTATCAGTCACGTTTTAACCATGTCATCGATAACATTAACATTAACGGGAAATTCATCACAGTTGGAGGCCGAATATTTTCCGTCTATTGATTTAAGCGATGGAAATTATGTGTGCGGGTTGATTGACTTTCAGACATTTAATTCTATTCCCAATGTCGACGAAACAAATGACCTATTTTACTTTGGCCATGAAAATCTGAGAAATGATTCAAATGATAACAACAGTGTCGATAAAAACGATAATAATGATGAAGGTCTTTCAATTGATATTGAAAGTTTAAATTCAAATGAAATTGGAGAGGCTGTTGAAAAGAGCTCTGATTGGTATTATTATGATACTGCGCAATTAAATGTTGGAGAACCAGAGGTGCAAAAGAACAAGAGGGCTCTGAGTTCTAACCCTACTAAGCGAAAACAGCCATTGTCATATATTAAAATTCCAACTGGATCGTATGAGGTAGAACATTTATCCAAATATTTAAAGAGGACACTTGCACCGCAGAATGTCAAATTTGAATTGGAAGCCAACAAGAACACACTTCAATGTGAAATCATATGCAGTCAACCCATTGATTTTTCCAAACCGAATACAATTGGTCAACTTTTAGGGTTTAGAAACAACAAAGTTTTACGAGAAAATACAGTGCATGTTTCACAGCAGTCAGCTGACATATTAAAAGTAAGTGTCATTCGAGTGGAATGTAATAAAATTACGGGATCGTATTTGAACAATCGCCCATCACATACGATTCATGAATTTTCGCCTAGAGTACCACCTGGATATAAGATAATAGAAGTGCCACAAAATGTCATTTACTTTCCGGTCACTGTGAAGAACATACGTACTCTTAATCTCTCTTTAGTGGATCAAAATAATTGTTTAATTAATTTCCGTGGGGAAACTATTACAATACGATTACATATTAAAAAAGTAAACAGTAACTAAAAGTCAAAATGATCATTTATAGGAGCAATTTAAGTAACTATAAAACAGAGAAGCATAACAGATTTGCTAACATTAAGAAAAAAACGGTGGACGTGACAACATCTCCATCTTCGCGATCTTTTGGAAAAAATCAAAAGAAATCGACTAGAATTAATCCATTGCGCAAAGAAAACGTAGAATTATTACGGGAAATCGGATTCAGCGTTAAACAGAATTAAGAAAAAATAATTGAATATGAATAGCGAAATTTTATCGTTGCGTGGTCCGGTTGGATATGATGATAGAATTACCAGCATCCAAGACCATGCATATAGCCCATACACAACTTCATACAACCACAATGACGAAATACGTGTAGTAATCCAAAATCAAGATCTATATGTTTTGCTTCACCGAAGTTACATTTACATTGAAGGCAGAATTACCGTTACGGTACCTGCTGCGGCTGCAGCGAATCCAGAAGATAGAGTGGCACCAAATTTTTCAAATAATGCGGCATGCTTTCTTTTCAATGAAATTCGATACGAATTAAATGGATTTCCGATCGATATTTGTAAAAATGTTGGCATAACATCCACCATCAAAGGATATCTCTCATACACACCTACAGAATCGAATCGCCTAGAAATCAGTAGCTGGAAAAAAGATTCGAGCATTGTTTCAGCCAATGGTAACTTCTCTTTTTGTATCCCATTAAAACACATACTGGGTTTTGCAGAAGATTACCAGAACATCATTATGAATGCGAAACATGAATTAATATTGCAGCGCAGTAACTCTGACCTAAATATTTTCACGGGCGCCAACAACATTTCAACACTCCAGATTGATAAAATTCAATGGCGAGTTCCGCATGTTACGGTATCAGATGCGGAAAAACTAAAACTGATGCAAATCATAAATAAAAAGCAAAATATTCAAATGAATTTTCGAACATGGGAGCTGTATGAGTATCCAGTTCTACCAATCACTGACAAGCATATATGGAGCGTGAAAGCAAGTTCGCAGCTCAATACCCCTAGATTTATCGTGGTCGCTTTCCAGACAGCTAAAAATAATGTTATCACCGCCGATAAAAGTCAATTTGATCATTGTCACCTGTCCGATTTGAAGGTTTTCTTAAATTCAGAATCTTACCCGTATGAAAACCTTAACGTAAACTTTGATCAGAACCAATATGCAATTCTTTATGAAATGTATTCCCGGTTCCAAGAAGCATTTTACCATGGAAGATCTATACATGAGACAGCCCCAATGCTGACATTTGAAGAGTTCAAAACTCAAGCACCATTGATTCTAATTGATTGCACACATCAAAATGAAACTCTGAAAAAAAGCATCATTGATATTCGCATAGAATTTCAAACAAGACAGCGTATTCCAGCAAATACAACAGCATATTGTTTAATTATACATGATAATATTGTTGTGTACAATCCATATTCAAATATTGTGAACAGAGTAATATAAGCTGAAAATGTAACTGTGGAGATAATATAAATAAAAACTTAACTTTTTTCGTTTTGATAACGAAGATTTTATTTTGTTTCATTTTTAATTTTTTTTTTCCATGAAATTATGAGATACCTATGATTATATTCTTTTTTTTACATTTCAAAGCCGTGGTCTGCCATAAATCTAATCTATATAAAAAATCTTACTTCTTTCTAGTTTGTCAATTAGCAATCTGTCAATTTAACTTCAGTAACTGATTCTAATTTGATTTTTTTAAATGCCAACTAAGCTACATCCGTTTTGTTCCATATTTGTGGACAAAGTCATCAAAATGTCTTCATACAATATTGGGTGAATATTTTTACTTAATTGATAAAGAAAAAACCAATCCCCCATTTTTATTTTTCTGACAAATTTTTCAATGTTTTCAAATGGTATGCATATAAGTTCATCTTCAGTGACGTAAGATCTATTACAAGGGAAAACGTAAATCAAAATATGATAAACAATTGAAACGGCTGTGAAAAAGACCACCAAGTGGAACCAGTACCATAAAAAAATATATATTATTTCATTTAGGGCGTTTAATGGGAGCACACATAAACCATCTAAGTATTGTATGCTCCCCGATGGTCCATATTTGTTAAATGAACATTTGGTCATTGATGGAAACACGAGTGACATTGGATCAACGCGTTCTTCTGGTTCCATATTGATAAATTTCAACACTTCAAGCCCGTAGGTCGAAAATTCACCGTTCAAAAAGTAGTCCATAAAATACAATTGCGCAATTATATTAATCAAATTTAAAACTAAACATAGCAAAAATCTTAATGCATAGTCGTTATGCGTACCCATATTCTTTTTCATATAGTTAATTATGATTTCTTTCCCTTCAAATTTATATCCTTCTTCTGTGATAACTAAATTCAAATTGGAAGAAAGTTTCTGCATTTTTCCTCCTTCCCAAATTTTCCATACATATCGTGGAACGTAGAACAGAATTGCTTGGATTAGAAGTGTAAAGTAAATCCATTGATAGTATTTGTGATATTTAATTTCACTTTTGCCTTTATTAACACTTCCGACACCTGGTTGAATATCACCATTTTCTTGTTCAGCGTTCGTGAATGTACCGTATGTCCAACAGTAGGAATTAATGAAATTTGCGGGAATATCATCAATGATGCAGCTGATTGGCTCACCGATGAATTGATTAGATGTAATGAACAATGAAGATATTATCAATATTATAATTGTTGATTTATAATGGAGACGGAAAGCAAAGTCGTCAATGCAAACATCGTCGAACTCGAAAAGTTGTTTGATACTATTAATTTCAAAAAACATCTTTAAATGAAAAAAAATTTCGATTGAATCTACTATTTCGTTGAGCACTTCGAAAAGAAATGAGAGTGGAAAATAGAGAGAACTCTATTTAAGAATGGAATCGCTTCATGAATTTATAACTTTTGTTTTTTTTAATGACATTACTGGATTGTAGCTATACATATTTTGGTGATGAATCATCGTTGGGTGATTCATCGATGATTCATCACTAAAATATTTACTGAACGCAATGTTTTTTTAAAGTAATTTAGCAGAAAAACACTTTCTGTACTTTTTCAAATGGCTTCTGGCAGGCTGGACAAACCTGAAGTGAAAAAGTGCATTTCACACATGCAATAATATGTCCACATGGAAGAAACACACTATTGCTATCGTTTTCATAGCATATTTTACACATTTTTGCTTCGTATGCCTCTTCACAATCGGTAGTTGGTGGTGGTGTAGAAGAAGTTGTGTCAATCGATGCTTCACTGGATTTTGAATTTTGGTCGTTTTCTTTGGCGATGCGCCTGGCTGCAAGTGTTGTCACCACCTCGTCGTGATAACTCTCACCTTTGATGAGGACCACTTAATCGCAGTCACCGTAATATAGAGCGTGCTGCTCCCATGGGTCGTCATCCTTCTCCCACTTACTTAGCCCACCTCCGCAGGAAAAACAAATGACTCGATCCGAATAACCAGTATAATAGAAACCAGCATCAATCATTTGCTCTGCCGTTTGCTCCAAACCTATTGGCCATTCTTCAAACGATCGTCGTCGCGATGATTCGGTCGCGTATTTTCTTATTACCGTATATTGCATGAAGCTGACTTCGTCGTGGCCTTCCATTTTGCACTTCTTTGCACTTTCGAGAAAACAAAATTTGATAACACTTTTAATTCTTGAATAGTGTTCAGCACAGTCTTTTATTTTTTTGATTTTTTGTTACATCAATTCTGCTTCTTTTCTCTTTAATGTTACACAACTTATACAAGCCAACACGAATTTAAAATTCTTGAAAAAATTCAAAACACACTTTTTTCTTTGCTTTTACACCAACTCTGGTTCTTTTTCTTTGATACTACACAACTTATAACAGCCAAAAACGAAATGAGCATGATGGATCCGTTTTTAATACGCAGTAGCTCAGAAATTGTTCGAAACACTCTTTTTTACAGCAATTTTGATTTTATGCGTCCGAACATTTCATAACTCAACCAAAAAATCGAAAAGAGCAATGCAGCATTTTAAGTGCATTGAACCCATTGCACATTGTCGCACTTCTTTTCCCTTTCATTCATCTAAATACATTTTTATCACCATTGCGCTGCACTGCACCGCGCCGTTTCGATAAGTGACTAACAAATTCGGGATTAGTTATGGAGTGTGATTAGATCCGCGTTTTGTGTAAAGTGCCTATATGTAAATTATGTGACTGTGCGCGCGTTACATAATTACACTCAAATTCTGTGCAGTGAAATTTGGTTAAGAAAACGGGCGCGTGCGGTGCGGTCAATTGGAAATGGTAATAATAGTCGATGTGGATAGAATTACATTGGTTGATGAGTTTTTTGGGGTTTTCTAGCATTCTAACATCAATGCAGAATTCATATTGGAATTCTGATTTTGGTACTAATGCAATGGGTTTTTTTGAGATTGCGGTACATGCGTCGCATTGCGGCACATATTGGCCATAAAAAAAATCTCGTTGCATTATAAGTAATGTGGATATTTAAATTAATAAGCAAAAAGAGAAAAAACGCAAGACTTTTCGTCAACGTTTTTGTAAATCATTCTATCGTGGATTATTAGTTTGCTTTTGGCTGTTGAATGATTCTCTCGATTTTCATCTTAAGATCACCAAGTTAAGTTATATTGTTCAAGTTTCAATCAAGTAAAGAGTGATTTGCTTAAATCTTTTGAATAAAAAATTAAGAAAAAAAATCAAAAAGTGAAAAAAAACATCGATTCAGCGAAATTCAATTAAAGTCGAAAAATGTGTAAATTCAATGTGGTGAAATCCTCTCGTTTGCGTCTCGATTCACACGGCAGTGATGTGATCAGCATTTCAAGTGACGACGACTTTGATCGTGACGACAACTTCGATTTGGAGACAATTTCTATTTCGAGTGGTGATAGTTTTGATGACGAGACTACGGCTAGTTTCGATTACGTGCGCTTCCATATGCCAATGCCGGACGTGGTCAATTCGCCGGAATTAAACAACGACATTTACTGGGGTTGGACAACAGACGATGACGAGGAAGAACGCGAAGTGCTCATCAGCGTGAACACAATGCACGGGGAGGTGGCCAACGTGAATGTTTTTTACCACGACGCAAATATCGAAGATCCATACATTAACAATCAATACATCAACGCCCCATACATCAGCGGCCCATATATGAATTATATGGCCAACAACGGATTCTACGAAAACAATTCATACATCAACGATCAAAACATCAACGGCTCATACATCAATGGCCCATATATGAATTTCGCAGACAACGATGGATTCTACGAAACGGTGGATCCGACATTCGTCGAGGACCCAAACAATTACTTTTTTGACACCCGTGAATTGGCGTGGCTTAACAATTACGACGCCAACAACGACGTCAACAACGTCTCTAACTACGACGTCAATAATGCTGATGACAACAGCGCAGAGTTGGATGATTTTGAAAGAACCCTAATTGGCTATTTCGTTGGTGCATTCCAACCAGGTGAATCGGACGAAGTGGAGGACGAAATCAACTGGGTTTATAAACCGTTATAACGCCATCAACGAGGCAAATCAATGAAATCAACAATTTATACATTTCTAATTATTCGAATCGCTTGTTTGAATCATTAAAAATTAAAAAAACAAAAAAAAACAAAGTAGTAAAAAAAGTAGAAGAATGAATACTAGTACAGATCAAAATTTTGAAAAAGTAATAAATAGTAAACGTAGAAAAACTGCGTAGCAAATAAGAAGGAAAAATAAAATTCATTTTTTATCGCATCAAGCGCAATCGTTGGCTTTTTTTTCTACATTCAAATTTCAAACAATGGTTTTCGGCTTACCCATCACAACATATATGGTTTTAGCTCAATATTCCTACACAATGAGTCATTACATTTTTATGCCATGATTCATCGCGCAAGTTAAATTCCTACACTATGAATCATCGAAATTTCCCTCAGAACTATGTAGTTTTCAGCTCACCCGTCAAAACCTATGTGATTTTCGGCTCACCCACAGAAACCTATGTGATTTTCGGCTCACTCATTTTTGACTGAGCTGAAAACCACATAGATTTCGGCCGGTGAGCTGAAAATCACATAGATTTCGACTGGTGAGCTGAAAACCACATAGCATACACTACTTTTTTCACATTTGTATTGCCGATTGTGGAATATGCTTCCCAAATTTGGAACCCATACACCGATGGAAAAATTGCACGAGTTGAATCGATCCAGAAGCAGTTTTTATTGTTTGCACTGCGCAAAATGAAGTGGCCACACAGATTCAGGAAGCCGCCATACGAATGCCGACTGCTTGAATTACAAA